GGGAAAAGATTTTAGTTATTAAGCTGGATGCCAGTGTCTCACGCCTGAAATCCTAGCCACTCAGGAGGCTGAGATCTGAGGATCATGGTTCAAAGCTAGCCCAGGCAGGTAAGTCTGAGAGACTCTTATCTCCAATTAACCATCAGAAAACCAGAAGTGGCGCTGTAACTCAAGCGGTAGGATGCTAGCCTTGAGCTGAAGAGCTGAGGGACAGCGCCTAGACCCAGAGTTAAAGTCCCACAACCAAAAACAACAACAACAAAAAACTAAATTAAAAATTTTAATTATTTAATTACACATTACTCCCTAGCCTGGAGACTTTGGGTAGCAACACTGTATTGAACAAAGTCTTCGTGAAGCTAACTACTATCTTACCCTGAGAGAGGCTCAGACTTAGAGGCCCATAAGGCTTCATCCCAGTTGCTGATTGTCCTCTCCAAGTTCATTTCTATCTCTTCTTCCCCCCATAGAGCAGTCAGCATTTCTCAGCCCACCACCGCACCCCTTCAAGTGGCCAGCTGGAGAGCCCCAGGCATGGCTCTCTCTCCAGCTGCTGGCATTCTGCAGCTGGACCTCCAGATAAAAGTTCCATCTCTCCCTCCCACACTTAGAACACCTTGAGAGTCTGTGGTCTGGCTAGGTCAGGGTTCCTGGGGTCCCTAGCACCCCGCCATCCACGAGCACCACCCACTTCCCTTCCCCCACGCATGGCTCTTCCCAAAGCCTGCCGCTCACACCTCGTGGCGAGGCAGTGAGTTTCTGAGTTATAGCAAAGCTTATTTCCCTGTACAGCTCCCACGGAGTTAACAGATGTACGCACGTCTGAGGCATTCAGGCGGCAAGAGGCATTGGGGCCCGATCTTTCCCGTTTTGACAGTGTGTAATCGAGGTGAAGCCATAAATTTTATAAACAAGAAGAAACGATCCTTAGCAACATATGTCTGCTCGACCCTTCCAAGGTGATCGTAAATAAAGGCACCTGCTAGCCGGGGAAGGGCTGTGGCACTGCAGATGGCCACCAGGGCCTGAGGACCTGAGCTTTGGGAGCAGACGCTGGGCGTTGTTACCAGGGCCTCCGGTGTGGGGAGAGGTCACCTTGCACCCTCTCTCTCCTGGATCCTGAGACAGTGGGATGCCTGGGCGCCATTCATTCAGTCCGTTCCCAGAAGCTCCTTTGTCCTGAACTGGAACCTGATTGGTGCCTCCTGAGTTTGTAGTATACTCTTTTCCTCTCTGAGGGAACACGGCCTCCCCTCTTAGTTGTCCATGACACTCGAACCCCTTGTCTAGCCCAGGTGTTCACCCCAAGGGAATTTGAGGGTCAAGGGTCTTGTCTAAGCTCTGCTGTTGCCTACAGAAAGACCAGGACTCTGTCAGTCTCTATAAAGACATGTGACATCACCAGGTATCTGTAGCTCACATCTGTAATCCCAGCTATTCAGGAGGCTGAGATCTGAGGAGTACGGGTTCAAGCCGGACTGGGCAGGAAAGTCTATGAGACTCTTCTCTCCAATTAAATCACAGAAAAACAACCACCTGGAAGCGGCGCTGTGGCTCAAGCGGTAGAGTGCTAGCCTTGAGAGAAAGGACCCTAGGAGTGTGCCCAGGCCCAGAGCTCAAAAAGTTTAAAGGAAAAAAAAAGAGAGAGAGAAAGAGCCAGGCACCGGTGGTTCACGCCTGTCATCCTAGCTACTCAGGAGGCTGAGATCTGAGGATCACAGTTCAAAGTCAGCCTGGGCAGGAAAGTCTGTGAGACTCTTATCTCCAATAAACCACTTGAAAACGAAAACCAGAAGTGGTGCTGCGGCTCAAGCGGTAGAACGCTTGCCTTGAGCTGAAGAGCTCAGAGACAGCACCCAAGCGCAGAGTTCAAGCCCCAAGTCCGACCAAAAAAAAAAAAAGTAGAAAGAGATGTAATTTCCTTGAACAGTTAAAATACTGTTTATGGGAACAAATTCCAGGAAAGAGAATCGTGGGTTTTGTTGGTGGTGATAGTGGTGTTTGTTTTTGCTTTGGGTGTGTCTTATTTCTTTTAGGGAGTGTAAAATGAGGGGGGGGTACAGAAAGGGAGGGACAAAGGGTGAGCAAATGCATTTTTTTTATTTTTTTGTCAGTCGTGGGTCTTGAACTCAGGGACTGAGAGCTGTCCCTGAGCTCATTTTGCTTAAGGCTGGTGCTCTACCACTTGAGCCACAGCCCTATTTCCAGCTTTTAGGTAATTAATTGCAGGTAAGCATCTCACAGACTTTCCTGCCCAGGGTGGCTTCCTCAGATCTCAGCCTCCTGAGTAGCTAGGATTATAGGCGTGAGCACAGGCACCCAGCTTTCTGCTTAGACTTTTCAGTCCTGTCTTCTCTCAAAACAGAGAAGCCATGGGCCAAGGCAAATGAAAACTGCACCTTAGCTGGACTGCAAAGGTGAATTTATTTCTCTATACAATCAAGACAGGACCAGCTTGGGCCTAGCACTGCCAGCAAAATGCTCAAGTCCTGTCACAGGGGAAAGATGAGCCACAAATCCTTCCAGGCACTGATTTATGTAGCATTCAGGTGGAATTTATTATACAAAGAATTTTATTCAATTAAACTTGAAATGCGTGTAGGTTCTTAAAGGTTCAGTGGCCATCTCTGGGACAGGGAGATCATAAAACTGGAAGGTGTCGGGGACGAGATGAGGGTGACATTGTCACTGACAGGAGATGCAGAACTGGGGCGTTTGTCATTGGGGGATGTTGTTACAAGTTCGGGCTGTGGAAATTACTCAGTGAAAAATGCACATTAACAATAGCCATGAAGTATCAGTTAAGGGAAACTGGGCTGAGAAATGAGACAGCAGGATCTATTAGTGTCTGGTATTGTTTACCACAGCCTAGGTGGTGATTAAAATGCTGTCAAGGGCTGGGGATGTGGCTTAGTGGTAGAGTGCTTGCCTAGCATGCATAAAGCCCTGGGTCCGATTCCTTCATACCACATAAACAGGGAGAAAGCCGGAAGTGGCACCATGGCTCAAGTGGTAGAGTGCTAGCCTTGTGGTTCAAAGTCAGCCCTGGCAGGAGAGTCCATGAGACTCTTATCTCCAATGAACCACCAAAAAGCTGTATGTGCAGCTGTAACTCAAGTGATAGAGCTCTAGCCTTGAGCAAAAGAAGCTCAGAGAGTGGCCAGGCCCTGAGTTCAAGCCCCAGAACTAGCAAAAAAAAAATGTTATTAAGAGATTGGGGGGCGGGGGAGGAGGCCAGGAATCATGAGATCAAATCTCAGGCCAGCCCTTTCTGCCTCAGTTTCCCTACCTGCAGAATAGAGTCCCCTCCCCCTCCACAGCTGCTGTGGGGTTCTGATAAAATCGGGGCACACTTGGCACTGGGCTCTTCTGAAATGCCGGCTGGCATCCCTGCTGGGGGCACACTCTTCCTGTCTGGGAGCTGACCTGGGCCAGGGCAGAGCAAAGGGCACTCATTTTGGGCGGGGGGGGGGTGCAAAATGTATGAGGAATGTGAGACACTCAGTACTCAAGTTGTAAAGCAGTATCTTCTACTTTTTCATGCCAATTTTCACGTCATTTTCAAGTTGAATTACACACACACACACACACACACACACATAAAGATCTATGTTTGCTGCACCCTGCGCCACCATTTACATAAACAACAGCTTGCTCTTGGTTTTGCAACCCTGTGTCCGCGTACAATGAATGATGGGTCCTGAGACTTCCTAGAGCTCGTACGTACGTTGACTGCAGGATTTTATTCTATATTCCCACTTGGCTCAAGATACAGGCAGATGTGTTGGTCAGTGTATTTTGGGGAATACTTTTCCTTTTGCCTGGGGCTCTGCTCTGGCAGGGCAGAAGAGCAGCCCATCCTCTGTGCTGCCCATGCCAGCGCCGTTCTAACCAGGCCAGTGGCAAGAAACACCTGCCCTGCACCCGGAACCTGAATGCTGAGGTCCAGCCTGCCACAGCTCTGCAGGAAGGACTAGAAGGGTGTTGCACACAATCAGAGCCCATCTCTGATCTTTCCCATGGCGCTGTTGTTTACTGTGTCTAGCTTGACCATCCCAGGGAGCCTTTGGGGGCTTCTGTGGCCACAACTGAGCAATGGCACTGGGCTATCCGCCTTCCTAGCTGGCCTGGAGAAACTACATAGCATTTAGGTGCCTTGGGTTGCTCTTCCAGTTTCCGGTCCTGCTGAGCGTCTGCCTAACACACCTCTTCCTTCTCACTACGGTGGTGGCGGACAAGGCCTCTTCCCAGGGCTTTTCCTCCCTGCTGGGCACCTGCGTCTCACTCTCTGTGCCCCAGAGCTGCAGACTTCCTAATAGACATGCTCTGCAGGGGAGATGGCGAGGACTGTGCCTGGGGCTTACACCTAACATTTGCTCATTTGCCAGCCGGGAAGATGGCAGCAGTGACGGGCATGATGGGCAGGGAGCCTGCTGCTCCGCCGGAGCTTGATACATAAATGATTGCTGAACAGGGATTGCCAGGTAGCTCAGCCCTGATGGCAGTGTGAGCCTGTCCTTCCCAAAGGTAGACTCCTTTGGTTCTTGGGGCAGCCTCTCTGCCCTTCGTAAATGTGTGTATTTCCAAGGACACAGCTGGCACTGGTAGTGGTGCTGGACTGCAGGATGGGGTGGTGGTGACAGTGGCAGATTGTCTGAGATCCTGGCTGCACCTGTGACCTCACTTCTGCTATAAACTGGCCTCCCTCTCCCCACAGCCTCCCTCCTGCCCCCGCCCCCACCCCCACCCGTGAAAGGGGATTCTCCAAGCGGCACCCCCGCCTTGCAATCCCAGGCCAAGGCTGCTGAGGCCTATGGCTCTGAAACATCCCTTCCCTGCCCTGGGGTGGTGATGGGTGGCTCACAGGTGACCCAACGGCCCAGTCCTGCCTGCTTCTCCTTTATAAACCTGACACTGAAAGCCGCACTGACACAAGTAAATCACGCTTACACTTCCAACACACACACACACACACACACACACACACACACACACACACATTCTTTCTCACTTTTATTCTTCCTTCTGCATACCTCCCTTTCCTCACAGCCATGTCACTGGTCTCTTCTGCAATACTGAGTTGACCCCAGTTCCACAGATATGCGGGGCAGCCTGGGTAGATGCAGGAAGACACAAGGCAGCCCGGGAAAATGCAAGGCAGCCTGGGAAGGCTGGGCAGAAACTTCCCTTGTGGGAAGGGACAGTGGATGAGGTGACCGGGGCCTGCACCCATGGGAGTGAGCTCTTCAGGCCCCAGGAGGGCAAAGGGCAAAGGTCACAGTGGTCACCATGCAGGGCCTGTGTCCATCATGGCCCAGTGAGTTAGACTTAGTCCCTCTTCTTGTATATTTTCTCTTGGTTGCCCTCCTTCATGGCTGCGTATCTGGCTAGGGTGAAGAGGTAATCGCTGAGCCTGGACATCAGAGGAGCAAAGAGAAAGAGCTGAAATGAGTTAGCTCAGTGGTAACCGGGTCCTGCTTCTGTTAGCCCTTTAGGAGGAACTGTAAACCCCAAGCTCCAGGAGTCTGTGTGAGGAGAGGTGTCAGCAGGCTCGAAACCTTGACACCGTCTGCATCCCTGAACTCTACCCACTAGATCCAGTAGCACCCCTCAACACCCTTGTGACAATCCAAAATGTGTGCAGACACTACTGATAGAAGCGCGGGCCTGGAATATTATACTGCCCAGAACCTAGTCCTCCTCCTTCCTCCTGGGAGGAAATTGCTCCACCTGCCCCCCAGGTGCTTGTGTGACTCCCCCCAACCTGCACTGAGCTGCCCTGAGCCTTTTCAGGGAGGGGAGACTGGCTCAGGAGGTCAGACTCCTGGTCACTATCGACATAGCTGGGAAAGCCTTCCCGAGGCGCCCAGGTGCCCTCCCGGAGGGCCTCAGCCTGCCACCCTGTCCTTGTGGTTAGCATTGTCTCTGCTGGCTCTGCAGTGGTCTCCCGCCAGGCCTTCACCTCACAGGAAGAGGGCTCAGCTGCCTTCCCCGAGCCTGGCACAGTGCTAGGCACATCTCATACACCTATAAACACATGACAAGTAAGGGGCGGGGGGGGGCAGCCCTCGCACTGTTCCCCGGGCCTGTGGCACTGCTGTTAAGTTCCACTGCCACACTCCCACAAGTACCTGTTTAAGAATTTGGCCACGTTTGCATCAGTTTCCCCCGTCTGGACTAGAGGCACCACACTGAGAAAAAGAGGAAACACAGTCAGGCCAACTGTCCCAGCCAGTATTTTCCAACAGGCCGAGGATGGATGGTGTATGAGAGGGGGAGACGAGGGGAGCAGCCTGCTGAACTCCACTGGGCCTGGGGTTCTTCCTGGTGTGATAGAGTGGCCAGCCTCCAGCCTCCAGCCTCCCCAGGCGCTACCTGTCCTAAGCTGTGACTTAGAGCGGCTGTCGAGGGAGAGCTCGGGGGACCACGACAGCTCGTGTCTGCACACCGGAATCACAGACTGAATCTGCCAAGCACCAGCATGTGGCAAGGCCTTGCCAGGCCCTTCATGCGGGACGCTGTCAGAGCCCATGAGAAAATGATCCTCGGGACTGAGCCTCTCATCCCTATCTGGGCTACACAACAGGCTGGTGGCCAGGGCAGGTGCCTGGCAGGCCTGCCCCCTGGGCACCTCATTCCCCTCCATGTGCTGGCGCTCTTCCTGCAGAAGCAACGTTGCTGCCCATCGCCCTGCTCTGACAGTCTGCCCCAGGGTGGGGCTGGGGCACTGTCTGCCCCTCGGAGGCTCAGCCCAGCCCTTTGGAGGGCCTTGGTCCTGCAGATGTGGATGACTTTGTAAACAAGCGATGTTTCATTCTTGTGAAGCCCAAGTTCCAAGTACCCAGGACTTGCCTGAGGCTCTGTCTGGGCCTAAGAGCTTTGTGTGCAGGACAAAGCCTTCCTGCTACAGAAAACACTCAGGGTTTGGCACAGGTTGGCTGGCTACTCTGCCATGGGTGACACAGGTGACTCCAGCCACGATGTCACCTCTGGGAGCCCTCTCTCTCTCTCTCTCCCTCCCTCTCTCTCTTTCACTTTTTGTCAGTCGTGGGGCTTGAACTCTGGGCCTGGGTGCTCTCCCTCAGCTCTTCAGCTCAAGGCAAGCGCTCTACCACTTGAGCCACAGCGCCACTTCTGGTTTTCTGAGTGGTTTATTGGAGATAAGAGTCTCATTGACTTTCCTGCCTGAGCTGGCTTTGCACTGCGATCCTCAGATCTCAGCCTCCTGGGTAGCTAGGATGACAGGCGTGAGCCACCAGCACCCGGCTTTGGGAGCCATCTCTTAACTCCTAGAAAGCGGGCCTCTGCTACACGGTCTTACCATCGCTCAGCACGGCGGCACACGGCCCGGCAGAAATGCAGGGCTGCACTGCTCTTGCCTCCAGACTGAAAGAGAAGAAAGCAGGTGTTCATGCTGCACACAGGCTCCTAGAGACCCAGACCCTGCCCCACCACCGGGAGAGGGCTGTCCAGGGCCACTGCCAAGTACATGCACAGGGGGACTCTCCTCCAAAGTGGGCAGCGCTGGGGAGGGGCATGGGGCTGGTGCACAGCTCCTGTTCCTATTAAAGCTAAAGGGTCCAGGGGTTCTGCCCATACACGGGGCCTGTAGCCCCTTCCCTTCCCAGGGGAGGAGGCTGGGATGACGTACGGGCAGAATAAAAGCTGTGAGAGGGGGCAGCTGGCTGGTGTACTTGTCGATCCACTGCTCCAGCTCTAGGATGCGGCTTGCCTCAAATGTCACCCGCTCTGAGGAGTCAGGACAAGGAAGCTGCCATGAGACCACGCCCACCAAGCACAGGAAACACCCACATCCTTCCTGCTGCCCCGCCCCCCCAACCCAAAGGCTTCCAGCTGCTGGGAGAGTTCCTTCCCTCCCATCCAAGTCAGCCCTGGGGCAGCACCAAAGAGGATGCCCTCACCCCGAGCCCTCTGCACCCCCCAGCAGGGTCAGAGGATTACTTAAGTGAGCGTCCCGAGCCGAGGAGCGCGGCGTGGCCAGGGCAGAGCCTACGTCCTGCAGGGTGCACTGGATCTGGGGAGCGAGAGTGACAGTGAAGACTACGTGTGGCAGGGGTGGAAAGGCAGTTCCCTACTGGGGGTGTTACTGAGCCCAGGCACAGCTTTCCTGTGAGAACGCCGTGTCTTCACAGCCCACCCAGCCCTGTGCAGGGCACCTGACATGGCTTTCTTGGGTCTGAGGGGAGAAAAGGCCCCGAGGAACTTTCTCAACTCTGGCACCAGCTCCCTTACATCTGGGCCTTCCTTGTGAGAGTCCTTCTCCTCTCAAAACCGACAGCCTTGATTTTCAAACTAGTTATGGCCAGATGTGACCGTAAAGCACTGTAAAGTTCTGGAACTCAGACGGTCTGGATATCCTGGAAGGAGCTCTGGGAGCAGAATCGAGCTGGGCTCCCATCTGGACTAATTCTATTCTATTCTATTTTATTTTTGTGCTGGTCCTAGAGCTTGAACTCTGGGCCTGGGCACTGTCCCTGAGCTTTTATGGTCAAGGCTAGCTCTCTACGACTTGAGTCACAGCTCCGCTTGCAACTTTTTCTTGGTACTTTAGTGAAGATAGGAGTCTCGCAGACTTTCTTGCCCAGGCTGGCTTCAAACAGTGATCCTTTTATCTCAGCCTCCTGAGTAGCTAGGTTTACAGGCGTGAGCCACCCTGTGCCTGTCTGGACCAGTTCTAGACCTGGGTTGATGCATAGATGGATAGCTTGGGCATACTCCAAAGCATTCTGGGATGGCATCCCTGCAGAGACCTTGCTGCTTCCTTGACCCAGGCCCCTGAGAACAAGCAGGAGTCCTGTGGGCTGAGGGAAACTGAGCTTCCCAGCTTGGTGCTACTGCCTTTGGGATCATTCTTTATGGAGGGGAGCCGCCTGTGCCTTGTGGAATGCTTAACCCCTGATCTGCATGCATAGATGCCAGTAGCAAGCCCACCCCAGAGGGACAACACACACTGTCCCTCCATACTGCCCAAGACCCCTGGCTGATGACAGCTCTCTTTTACCCTCCCTTCACTTGGCATTGTCCTCAGCCCTCCCCCGTGAAGGATTACTTCTGATTGTCCCCCCTGCTGCAGGTGAATGAACAGCTCACGAGGATGACCAGAGGAAGCCACGGTAAGAATACAGCTCAAGTTGAGGTCACCAGTCCCTTGGGATGAAAAACTCCATGGTGGGGTGAGACCACGCTACTTACATTCTCGAGCTCGTTGGCAAAGGCGTGGCCCTTTTCTGTGATCAGTTCCATGGCAAACCTATGAGGAAGAAGGAGAAAGCATTGGCTTCTAATCCAGGGCTGTGAGACAAAAAGTCCATCAAGAGCAGTCACGGGTGTCTTTTTCTCGTAGGCCTGCCATCTGTCCCTGCTAGCAAACTGTGTACCTCTGCTATTATCTGTCCTGAAAAAAAATCTTGCCTAGTCTAGCCACCTCTGAGACCTGACAACACGGCATGAACGTTAGCTTGATGATGACAATAGCTAACGTTACTATTTCTTGAGCAGACCCTGGAAGGAATGGGGTGGGGGGGCACACACATAGATTTATCTCATTAAATCCTCACAGGAACAGAGATGAGGCTGGGAAGGTGGCTCTGTGGTAGAGTGCTTGCCTAGCATGCATGAAGCCCTGGGTTTGATTTCTCAATACCACATACACAGAAAAAGCTGGAAGTGGCGCTGTGGCTCAAATGATAGAGTACTAGCCTTGAGCAAAAGAAACTCAGGGACAGTGCCCAGACCCTGAGTTCAAGCCCTGGGACTGGCAAAAACAAAAACAAAAACCAAAACCAGAGCTGAACTGTGTTACCATGACTGTCTGACAGAGTAGCAAACCGAGGTTCAGAGAGGCTGGGTGACTTGTCTGAAGTCACACAGCTCATAGGCAAGAGCATCAGAATTTGAACCCAGTTCATTCCCATACCCCTGGACCCACACAGTTCTTGGTGTGGGCTTCCCCGTCCCACCTCACTGGCATCAGGCACTGCCTGGTGAGGTCTGAGCACAGGCCACTCCCTGGGGAGCTTTAAGTGCCAGGCTGAGCGGCTACCAAAGGTAGCAGCCTGGATCTCAGAGGGAAGGCCAAGTGAACGGAGAAACCGCCAGCCTGAGGCAGGCTGGCATAAGGGCAGGAAATGCACCTTTGGTTTAGGAAGCCATGAGGTTTTGGAGCTGCTCATCATCCTAACGTGCCCTGGCCTATCCTGACTAATTTTTGGAGTCACCCTTGTTAAACCTTTACTTATGTACAAGTTAATATATACTGGATGGCATACATATTCACCGGGAAAGTGAGAGGACCAGGGTCAGAGGGGAAGGCAGCTGCCCGGGCCATGGAGAGGGACACATGCTGGCTGGAGGGAGCGGGAAAGGCTAGAAGGGAGAGGTGCCTGTGGCCTGCAGCCCTGCCAAGCTGACAGCTTCTGCTTCTGGCCATCCAACATGGACAACTTCCAGGATCGCCCAGTACTCTTGAGAGCTTTATGGGGATGGAATTCACTGGTGCCCTGTGGTTCAGGCTCAACCTCAAGGCCAACCCAGTGTCCCTTACCCAATAGCTGAGCTTAGCTCATCCGTAGTTCCCACAGCTTCAAATATTTGGTCGTCCTTCCGTCTCCTTTCTCCCGTAAAGGTGCTTGAAAACCCTGCAGAAAGGCATTTTGTTATTTTTTTTTCCTGATGCATTGTGAAAGGAAGGAAGGAGGGAAGGAAGGAAGAAAGGAAGGAAGGTAGGTGGGTGTCAGGAACTATCAGAGTAGCTCAAGTAGTTACAGCACTTTCCTAGGAAGTACAAGGTCCTCAGTTCAACCCCCAGTAATGACAGCCCCCCCCAGACCCCCTTTCAACCTGAAGTATAACATAGAAAGTGCAATGATAAATGCACAAGCTTATGAGATACATGGACTGAACACACCCCTGTGTTCTGTCTAACCCTAGGTTCAATCTCCAACAAAATAAATGCATACTAAGTGATCCTCTCTCCCCCAAAAGAATCCTGTACAAACTAACCTGCTCAGAAAACAAAGTGTCAGGGCTGGGAATGTGGCTTAGTGGTAGAGTGCTTGCCTAGCATGCATAAAGTCCTGGGTTCAATTCCCCAGTACCATACGCACAGGAAAAGCTGGAATGGCACTGTGGTTCAAGTGGTAGAGTGCTAGCCTTGAGCAAAAGAAGCTCGGGGACAGTGCCCAAGATCTGAGTTTAAGCCCCAGGACTGGCAATAAAACAACAACAACAAAAACCAAAGCTGTGTGTAGGTTACACATACAGTCAGGATCCTCTTCAGTCTGGGTCATGGTTTGTGTAAGGTCCGCTCCTGGATGGCAAGCAGACTCCACCCTCCTCGCAGCAAAGTCTCCACCCATTACCTGCATTACCTAGGCAACTGGGACACCTGGAAGAGGTCACATCTGCATCCGCTGAGGTCACATCTGAATTTGATGTGGCCACACCTTTCCCCACCCATACCCTATATAAGGCCTAGCCCAGGTCCAGACGCCCTCTTGCTCTTCTTTTCTGCTCGCTTGCTCTTGCTCTTGCTCTTGCTGCTCTTTTCTTGCTCTCTCTGTTCTATTCTAGCTCTCTCTCTGTTCTTTTCTTGCTCTCTCTCTTTCCCAGCCACGTGGAGTACCCCTTACCTGAATACCACGTGCGTGCTGGTGCAGTTCTTAATCGGCTACCTCTTTTTAAAAACCTAACAGTTTGTAGTGCCTGGCACTGTCATGACAGGTCCTGGCCGGACACTCACAGGTAAGCTGTGGTTTTCTTTGAACACAATTTCATAGAAAACCATGAGAGGAGCTGCCCCGTGATAAATCAAGACCAAATGAAACAAGACCAGTAAGTAATCAGGCCTGAGTCTGACACACAGTTCCCTTCCTGTCTAGAATGAGCAACAGCTGTGGCGTTACCCACTGTGGCTTCAGCAAGGGTCTTTCTTGCAATATACAGAATTAGCCCTGCTTCGGGGCAGTGTCCAAGCCACAGCAAATCCCCGCTTCCCTAAATCCTGTAAGTTGGGCACCTTCCTACAGAGCCATTCCTGATTCAAGGCTGGGCAATTCAGGGAGCCATAGCCAACAGCCCCAACCATGTCTGAGTGCAGATGTCCCTGGAGGGGACAAATAACATTTGTAATTTCTGTGTATGTTTTCTTTTGGTTATCATGGTAATCTATAAATGACTTGACATTAACTCTTTTGTTTTGCAACAGGGTTTTGTTATGTAGTCCACAGTAGGTTTTTTTGTTTTGTTGTGTTTGTTGTTTTGTGCTGGTAGTGGGGCTTGATCTCAGGGCCTAAGCGCTGTCCCTTAGCTTTATTACATATGATTGGTGCTCGATCACTTGAGCCACACTCCCACTTCTGGCTTTTTGGTGGTTAACTAGAGATAAGTGTCTCACAACTTTCCTGCCCAGGCTGGGTTTGAACCACAATCCTCAGATCTCAACCTCCTGAGTAACTATGATTACAGGTGTGAGCCTATAATGTCTAGCTTCGCTCAGGGTAGTTCTGAACTTACTAAATAGCCCAGGCTGGCCTGGAATTTGTGACCCTCATGCCTCTGCCTCAGGTGTTGAGATTATAGGTGTGTGCTACCCTACCCCTCCCATTTTTACTTTTTTTCAGTGTACAGGTCAGTACCTTAATTATCCTCTGCAGATGTTTATACTTTTACTATGTATGTATCTATCAAAAAACATTGCCTAGTAGTGATCGGCATTATTTCCAAAAATGATATCATACTGCTGTATCTTTTTCTGTACATTATGTTCTGGTATTTTTTTAATTATCAGAGTAATATATGCTCATTATAAAAAGCAATTAACGTTTATGTGTATGCACATATACAGTTTTTTTGTTGTTTTTTTTTTTGTCAGTCATGGGGCCTGAACTCTGGGCCTGGGCGCTGTCCCTCAGCTCTTCAGCTCAATGCTAGCGCTCTACCACTTGAGCCACAGTGCCATTTCTTGCTTTTTCTGCTTATGTGGTGCTGAGGAGTTGAACTTGGCCTCATGCATGCAAGGCAAGCGCTCTACCACTGAGCCACCTTCCCAGCCCCCTACAGTTTTTTTTTTTATCTAAATAGGTTCAGAATATTTAGATTGCTCTGTAACTTTTTTTTTTTGTCAGTCATGGGGTCTGAACTCTGGGCCTGGGTGCTGTCCCTCAGCTCTTCAGCTCAAGGCTAGCGCCCTACCAGTTGAGCCACAGCACCACTTCTGGCTTTTTTCTGCTTATGTGATGCTGAGGAATTGAACCCAGGGCCTCATGCATGTGAGTCTAGCACTCTACCACTGAGCCAATTTCTCAGCCCTGTTCTGTAACTTGTTTTGTCTTCTTTTATGAGGGCACCCTTGCCCCAAGCATGCCAGGTAAGCAAGCCTCTACCACTGAGCTCTGAGCCACACTTACCCCAACCTACCTTCCTTTCCCTTCTTTCTTTCTTCCTTTCTTTTTTTTTTTAGCACTGGAATTGAATTTTCTACCACTTGAGCCATGTCCCCAACTCTTCATTCATTTTTCAGGAAGCCCTTGCTTTTGTTTAGAGCCAGCTTCACACCTCCATCTTCCTATCTCCACTTCCCAAGGAGCTGGGACTACAGGCATGAGTTGCCCCATCTGGGCTTGCAACTTGTTTTATCACTTAATATATTCTAGGCATTGTTACATTTTTGTGATGCAAATTCAGACCCATCATATCGTCTCTAGTGTCTACAAGGAAGCTGGAAGAACTCTAAAATGATGTTTGTTTGTCACCTGCTCGTTTTTTTTAATTGCATTTTTCATCTGTCCCCACCCTACCTTTGTCTCCTGTTTTGGTGTAAATCTTGGGGATCTTGGGTGTCTTTGAAGAAGGCTGTGGCCTAAGGGGAAGCAGACATGAAGAGACAGTAAGTGGGGATGGCTTATGCAGGGGACCTCCATGAGTGGGTCTCAGCTTGCTGCGTGCAACCTTGATGGTGGCATTTACCCCACACTTCTTGGATGTTAATCTCTTGTTGACACTTTTCTTCTCCAAACCTTCTAGTTGCAAGTCGTCTGTAGGCAAACTCTGTGTCTTGCCCTCCTGTCTATCTGCAAGGTAGCTGATGTTGAGCACTGGTCAATGTGAGTGCTCAATAAATATTTGCTGCAAGAAGAGATCGATCACTTCCTATAGCCCTTGCACCATGGTGTATGATAGGCATTCTCCCCTGGAATTAGCCCTGGAATTTTCCCATAGCCACAAAGATAGGAGCTACCTCTAACTTCAGGACTGCTGGGACTCACCTTCTGAGGTCACCCAGGGAGGAAGAGGCAGTGCTGAAATTTATGACCAAAAATGTCCCACTTCAGATCCCAAACTGTGACCTCTTTCCTCCTGTAACTCTGTAACTCCTTCTGTAACTCCTTCCAACTGGGACTTTTTGTTGTTGGTGGTGGTGGTGGTTGTAGGGCTTGAACTCTGGGCCTGGGCAGTATCCCTAATCTCTTCAGCTTAAGGCAAGCACTCTGCCACTTGAGTCATAGCTCCACTCCCTCAATTCTGACTCTTTACCGCCAAGTCAGGGGCCGGAAAACCAGGCCACTTCCATTCTACAAGGCTTTGAGTGCACTCAGCAATTAAAAACAAAAAAAAAAACAGAAACAGAAACAAAACAAAAACTGAGCCAGGCTCTGGCAACTCATACCTGTAATCCTAGCTCCTTAGGAGGCTGAGATCTGAGGATCGCATTAGAAATACAGTCCAGGCAGAAAAGTCCCTGTGAGGCTCTTATGTCCAATTAACTACTCAAAACCTGGAAATGGAACTGTGGCTCAAAGCGGTAGAGTGCTAGCCTTGATCAAAGGAACTAAGCGACAGCACCCAAGCCCTGAGTTCAAGCCCCATGCTGGACAAAAACAAAACAACAACAAAAACCACCCAAATGGAAAATACAGGATTTGAATACTGGCATTTTTACCAAAAAAAGTTTTAATTTTTAAATGCTGTGGTACTGAGGTTTGAACTCAGAGCCTTGTAGTTGCTACAATGGGGCTAGTGGTTTTAACCATTTGAGCCCAGCTTTTTGCTGGTTATTTTGGAGGTGAAATCTTGCAGACTTCTGCCCCAGCTGGCCTTAAACAGTAGTCCTCCCCATAGCTAGGATTACAGTTGTGAGCCACCAATACCTATTAAAACCTATTATTTACGGCGCTGGGCATTATCCACAACCCCCTCCCCTGGGCCTGCTAGGCAAATGCTCTGTCACTGAGCAACATTCCCCCCCCCAAAAAAAGGTAACATCCCCTTGTCCTCCAGCTCACCCCTCCTCCAAATTGGCATTTCCAAGTAGCAACCTATAACTTGAATAAATAGCTCTAAACGGTCATGTGACATTGCAAAGTTAATTCAAAGAGTTAAATTAAGGGGTACAGAATATATGGACTCGTTATTAATTCAGGGTAGAACTACAGGGCTTGAGGTGTGAGGCCCAAGTTCCAGAGAAGATGCCGTAAACCTTTCCATCATGTTGGAGTACGTGTGTTTTGAATAGCATCCACTGTTCTGGGGAAGGGTTACTATTTAGAACCCGAGTCGCAGGCTCCCCTGTCCCGCAGAGGCTGTGCCCTGCCCCAGGGCTGCGCGTGCGCAAATAAAATCCTGGTCTCCGGCTTCCACGACGCCCGCGGTGACGTCAAGCACAGAGGGGACGTCACCAGTGTGACCGTACCGGAACTCACGGCAGGTGTTCTCCACTTCCCTCCCGGCCACATACTCACCCGTCCCGGTCTTCCTCGCCCTGAGGGGCGCGGCTCCGGAAACGGGGACATAGTAACCTACTAGCGTCAAGGTACCCGCGCAGGCCAAGGCGGCCCCCCAGGCCCCACACAGCCATGCGATGGGCGGCGCGTCGGAGATTGACCCCGCGGGGCCTCCGTCTAAGACCCCAGCGTGGCTCCACCCTCCATTGGCCGCGCCACCGCTCCGTTCTCCTTTTCCATTGGTTCGTGGCTCTCGCACCAGGGCGGGACACTCCCAGAGACTTGTTTACCATTGGCTCAAGGGAGGGGGTGGGAAAAATAATTCCCTGACAGCTTTTCTGCGATGCCTACTGGCCAATGCTTAAGCCAATCGGTAAAGAGATTCCCGGCTCGCGGGCTCTGATTGGCTAGACGGAAGGACGAGGTGTCCTCCCACAGGGCACGGGAACTCGGGCATGGAGGAGCCCGCGCACAGTTTCGGCGCGGGTTTCGGCGCGGAGGGCTGGCTGCGGCGGCAGGTGAGGGGCCTGGCTGGTGGGACGGGGTGGCGCGTGGTCCAAGACGCAGGACGACTCCGGGTCAAGGCTCCCGGGCTTCTCTGACTTAGTTTCCTCAGCCCTGGGGATGCGTCCTGTGGGGGTCGGGGACCTCAAACCTGACAGATCCTGAGGAAGCCGGGGTCACAGTCGTCTGAAATTTGGGGGGTCGGAAATCTTGCATTATTGATAAGAATGTAAAATGCACACACTCCCCTACCCGCAGAGCCAGGAGTCGGTGGCTCACGCCTGTCATCCTAGCCACTCAGGAGGCTGAATTCTGAGGATCGAGGTTCGAAGCCAGTCTGGGCAGGAAAGTCCGTGAGACTCTGATCTCCAATTAACCACTAGAAAACCGGAAGTGAGCCTGTGGTACAAAGTGGCAGAGCCATGGCCTTGAACAACAACAAAGCTCAAGGACAGCTCTCAGGCCATAAGTTCAAGCCCCAGGGCTGACACAGAAAAAGTGTGCAAAATAGATGCTATCAGATGGCTCCTCAGCCCTGTTTATAGCTAGGACACATTGGGAACAGCTCCAGTGTCCAGTAAATAGTTCTTTCTGGTCCCTGGTTTCATGTAAACCTCTCCCTCCCCGATTCCTCTCACTATCAAACACAAGGCCTTGCTGTCCCTAAGCAAGGACTTAACTGTTAAGCTACACATCCAACTCCAGGTAAACTTCTGCTTTTACTAACGGTGGTTATAAAGCAGAAACCAATAGTAGACCCAGTATTAACCAAGTGATTTACAATGTGCCAGATAATGCTGTTTTTCTTGCATTCATTTAACCTTCCTAACAATCTATTACTATAGGGAACTACATAATGTGTAGGAAAACAGGCCCATGGTCATTCAGTTGAAGAATATGAGCCCAGATCTTTCTCATTTATCCAGTTGGCTGTCATACTGCGCACACTGCCTTTCTGGTACATAGCAAATGTGAGGTGGGAGACGCTTGAGCTGGGATTTGTCTAGGGTCTTCTCACGTTGGTGTTCACATCTAGGGACCTTTGTTCCTCATTCTGGTTTTCTCTTTCAGGATTCCCAAAAGCCATGTTGTCAGAAGCTTTGCTGGTGTCTGCTCCGGGGAAAGTCATCCTTCATGGAGAACATGCTGTGGTGCATGGCAAGGTAAAAAGCCTCTAGGACTTTCAAGGATTGGGTACTCCTCCCTAACACTAATCTTGCAAGAAGATACATCCTGAGGAGTAATCAAGGCAAAATGCCCCATCTCCCCAGCCATTCAACGAAAGATGTCTCTACCAATGAAGAACTACTCTGGCCTCACTCATTGAGATAGCAAAAAGATGAAAGCCCTACACATGGAATAAAATCACCTAGGTGGAATGAAAATGGGTTTGCAGAATGAGATCTGGGACATTTGATGTTTGTTTATTTTTGTGCCAGTACTGAGGCTTGAACTCAAGGCCTGGGCTCTATTCCTAAGCTCTTTTGTTCAAGGCTAGTGCACTACTACTTGAGCCGCTTTGCAGCTTTTTGCTGGATATATTTGGAGGAGATAAAAGTCTCATAAACTTTCTTGTCTCAACTGGATTTTCAGGTCTCAGCCTCCTGAGTAGCTAGGATTACAAGCATGAGCTACAGGTGCATGGCTTCACTCAGTGTTTTAGTAGTTACAATGATGCCAGCAAAGGAGGCTGACATATTCATTATCTTAATCCTAAAGCCACAGAAGATACATCCTTTTGTTATCCTGTTTTACAGATAGCCTACAGAAGCTGTGGTTTAGGAGAGAACTGGTAACTTGACCAAGCTCTGTGCACTTTGGTAGAGCTAGGAGTGAGCCCAAGTCTGTTCCAGCTTAAAGTTCATGCTTCTTCCACTTCACCTCAGCTGCCTTCTTTATATTCTTCATTCAGATTCTGTTTTGACAATGTAACAGTGAAAAGCATGGTCTTGAGAGACATTGGCCTGAGTAGAAGCATTCACCCTCACTCTGGCTGACTGCCTTCACCCTTTCTACAGGTAGCACTGGCAGCTGCCTTGAACTTGAGAACGTTCCTGCGGCTTCAACCACAGAGCAATGGGAAAGTCAGCCTCAGTTTACCCAACATTGGTATCAAACAGGCCTGGGATGTGTCCAGGCTTCAGTTGATGGACACGAGCTTTTTAGGTAAGTTCTGGGAGGAGAAAAGAGGTGTAGTAGGAGCCTGGGCCCTGAAGAAATGGAGGCACAGGGCAGCTGGGTTATTTTGAGTGGTCCCCAAGGAAGACAGAAGCCGGCTATTTCACGGAGAGGGCAAGGTGTTCTATCCTGACTATAAAATTTCGTATTGTGTTTTAATTTTAAACTGTGAAACTGCATTAGGTCTCTGTCAACCATTGTCGACAGATCATCAGGGCCTCTTGTTAGGTATGATATGGCCAGGGATCAGGGGCTCACAACTACAATCCTAGCTACTCAGGAGCTAAGATCTGAGGATTGTGGTTCAAAGCCAGCCTAGGAAGGAAAAATCTGTGAGACTCTTATTTCCAATAAACTACCAAAAAAAAAAAGCCAGAAGTGGAGCTTTGGCTCAAATAGTAGAGTGCTAACCTTGAGCAAGAAAAGCTCAGAGAAAGCTGAGTTCAAGACCCAAGACCAGCACAAACAAAAATGCATACACACTGATGTTTTAAGCCTGAATAAATGTATAATAAAAGTTTGGCGGCATAGACATCAAACTGACTGTGGTAATTCATTCCTCTTGGCAGATCCCAGATCTGGGGAATAGACAAAAAGTCTTACCCTCTTGAATGCCATGGCTTTTAGCAAGGAAAATGAATGCATTGACATTTTACATAGTTAGAAATTTTGGGCTAGGAATGTGGCTTAGTGGTAGAGTGTTTGCCTAGCATGCATGAAGTCCCAGGTTTGATTCCTCAGTACCACATAAATAGAAAATGCCAGAAGTGGCTCTGTGGCTCAAGTGGTAAAGTGCTAGCCTTGAGGAAAAGAAGTTCAAGGACAGTACCCAGACCCTGAGTTCAAGCCCCAGGACTGGCAAAAAAGGAAGAAAGAAAGAAAGAAAGAGAAAGAAAGAAAGAAAATAAAATTATTAGCTGGGCACTGGTGGCTCATGCCTGTCATCCTAGCTACTCAGGAGACAGATCTGGGCTCTTCAGGCAGCCCAGGGAAAAAAATTGGTGAGACTCCATCTCTAATTAACCAACAAAAACTAGCTGGAGGAGTGGCTCAAATGGCAGAGTGCCATTTGGTGTTAATCTTTCTGGACTGTTTTTTGCAAGTAGGTAGAGTGGTTAAGCTAGGATGATCCTTTGCTCTTTTAAGATCATACAAGTGGTTTTTCTTCCATGAGTCAGGACTGTCCATGTCTGTTTGGGGTTTGGGCCTCTGGACTACTGCTGGCATAGAAGAGCAGGCCGGTGCTTCTTCAGGCAGCCAAGTCTCGAGTGCCCCAGAGCTGGGGGGCAGGGAGATTCTCCACAATCTGCTGTCCCTGTCTAGGCTGATGCCTTATTAAGGGCCTCAGCATTCCTCAGCAGGCCTGGGGCAAGTGTGAGCAAGTTCTAGAGAGAACATTCAAACATCATCTGAGCTTCAGACACCTGCCTCTCCCTGGAGATTAAATAGAGGTGGCAGTCTTCAGGCTGGGAGGCTAGCCCAGGAGTAGAAATCTGGCTTTTATTCCCAGTTTGGGGAGTTCAGAAAAAAAAATCTTCATTTTATGTATTTATTTTTTGTTTATATGGTACCAAGGAATCGAACCTAGGGCTTCATGCATGCTGGACAAGCACTCCACCACCAAGCCACATTCTCAGCCTGAAAGCCTTTGCTTTAGAGTGACCGTCTTCAACCTGTCACACCTTGGGATCACCCGGCGAGGGTTTATTGTTTTTAACTGATGCAGATGGATTCCTACCCCTCTCCTGTTGACCATGGTGGGGCTGAGAGGGACGAAATGTGTGTGTATTTTGAAAGGAGTTGTCTGGTGATTCCAGGGACTGTGGCAAGCAAGAGCCAGCCAGGGTACCTGGCATTGCTTCTGGCTGTGCTAAGCGCCCTCCCACGCCCTCCACTGTGACCACAAAGTTCCCTGAGAACCAGCTGCTGCTTTCATTAAGTTGGTAGACTGAGGCCAAAGTCAGGCAGCCATGAGCATTCTTGATTCTCTGGTGAGCTGCTAGGCCCTTGACTCTCTAGTGTCCTGCTAGGCCCTGTGAACAGGAGCATGCTGCCTGGCTGAGGATTGCTGTAAGGGGTCTAGTAGGATCGATTAGGTGGCAGGATGTAATAAGGCTTGATCATCTGCTTCTGGTGGGTGATAAAAGGAACTTGAGGCTTCTGAGCACTTACCCTCCCTTCCTAACCACGGAGAATTAGGTTGGGCCGAGGGCCAAATGTGAGTACTAAAGAATTCTCCAGCCTTCCCTGGAAATTCTCAGATCCAAAGCTCATTCCGTCTCCATCATGGAGCTTGGTGATGGCTTGGTTTTCCTTACAATTCAGTAGCTTGGCCATCTTGAATGTAAGTTACCTTTCAAACACTCAATACCCATTTCTGAACATCCAGTAAATGCCCTGATGTTTCCCAATGCATCTACACCCAACTTCACTTCTCTGTGTCTGATGAACTTGACCTGCGGCTCAGGGAGTGATCTGTAAAGGGAAGCTAGGCCAACTTGCTTAGCGTCCTCCAGGCCCCAGGGGAAAGAGGCCTAGGCCCTTAGATGTTACTGAGGAAACCTACTGCCTGATTTTTCTCTCCTGCAATATTTCTTTCCCCCTGTTTGCAATTGTTTGCTCCTTTGTGTCTTTCGCTAGCAGTATTGCAGATGGAACCCAAGGCTCCATGCATACTAACTAGGCAAGTGCTCTACCACTGGGGCTGCACCTCCAGCTCTTTTGTTTTTATTTTGTTTTGCTGACCAAATTCCATAACTCCATAATCCTCCTGCCTCCCCCTGGCCTGGTAGCTAAGATTAGAGGCCGGGCGCTGGGGTGAGAGGCCTTCACCACCGCACCTGGCTTGGTTCATTGTCTGGTTTTATACCTTGGAAGGTGAAACCAAGCCTTTGAGGAATTGAGCTGGCATTCACTTCATGGAGGGCGAGGGAGTTTAAATAACTATGAATTGTGCCCTTACTATGGCCAGGAGCTGTGCTGAGAATTGCACACACTTAACTTTATCCTCATGGCAGCCCCGTGAAAGAGTGCTGTTATTCTTGTTGAGCCAGGAAACAAGTTTAGAGAGGGTGAGCCACAGGCTCAGGCTACGTGAGCAGCAAAGTGGCACAAACCCAAGTGTGCCCACTGACCATGGAGACTTGGCCGTGGAGCTTGGCCCGGAAGTCGACGTCCATCCACACTGCAATTCCAGTGCCTGCTCGTTCTTCTGTATTCCGTGTTTGATCACCTGAGGCTCTCTCACCTCCCATGTATGCTTGTTTGCCTGTGTGACAGAGCAAGGTGACTTCATAGCACCCTCCCCGGAGCAAATGGAGAAGCTAAAGGAGGCAGCGGGCGTCCCTGAGAACCACACCGCCACCGAGCTCCTGGCTCTGCTGGCCTTCCTGTACTTATATCTGGCCATCTGCCGGAAGCAGAGGTGGGTGTGTGGTCTACAGGAGCAGAGGGAGGGATACCCCCCATCACTGCTGCTGGGGCCCCCTAAGTTCTCTAGTGTCTTCATTGTGTGCCAGGCAACCTGGGAGAGAAGACCCTGGAGGCTGTTCAGCCAGCAAGCCAGAAGTGCTGGGCATCAGCCAGCACTGACATCCAAACCCCACACCTCCTCTGCTTGCTCCAGTTCAGTGGCACCAAAGCCACGTTCTATCCACAGATCCACGGGTGGCTGCTCCCTGGCATGGCTGTAGTATCTGCATCTCACTCCTAAAGAGTTCTAAGAGAGAGAGAGAAAATCTTCTAGTCTGCCTGAGCACTAGTGACTCACACCTATGTGATCCTAGCCACTTAGGAGGCTGAGATCTGAGGATCACAGTTCATAGCCAGCCCAGGCAGAAATGTCTGTGACACTGTCTCCAATTAACCTGCAAAAAAAGCTTCACTGGAGATGTGGCTCAAGTTGCAAGTGATAACATGCAGCTATGAGTTTAAGCCTGTTACTAGAATGGGGAAAAAGAAATCAGGATAGTATGGGAGATTATACACACACACACACACACAGATTACACACACACACACACACCCCAGTCCTGGGGCTTGAAACTCAGGAGCTGGACATGTCCTCTGAACAATTTTTTGCTTGTGGCTGGCATTTTCCGCCACTTGAGCCACAGCTCCACTTCCAGCTTTTTTGGCTGTAATCTTCAGATGTCAGCCTCCTGAGTAGTTAGAATTATAGATGTGAGGCACTGGTGCCTGGGAGCTGTGTGTATTTTGAAAAAGGCACACTCGCTATCGTCATTTTTAGAATGTGAGAATAGTTGGAAAAAATAGGACAAACCTTATTTCAAATGACCTACCCTGAAGTTTGACAGGGTTCACTTAGGGGGAAATATACAGGAGACCATATGACCTTGAACTTCCTATGACGAGTTTGCACACGCTGGGAACACTGATGGGAGAGGCCTTTCCTGGGAACACACACCAGGTGAATGTCACTAGAAGAGGGACCTGCTGGAGCAGCCAGGAATGACCCTCCCTTGGACGGCGTAGCAAAGTGTCTTAGTGGAAGTGGTGTTTGATAAGAGTCCTGAAAGATGGGTAGGGGGTTGTCTGGTTGTCCAAGGTCATCCAGGCCTAAAGGCAGCCAGTGCTAGGAAGAAAATGTAGGGCAGCAGGCCAGATGTTAGAAGAGAGGTTGATGGTCTGCCCAGAGCTTTCAGGAAGCACTAGGACTGTCAGTGGAGGGATTTCAAGGAACCCGTGCCCAGTTCTCATGGTCTGATTGACCGGGAGTTCCTGCCGGGGTTGGCTTTGGAGTTCACAGAACTGTGACAGACCCTCCGAGCTACTGCCCCTGTCCGCCCTGTCCAATCCTGGTCTCCGGCTTCCATGCTCGCGCCTCCCCGGCCTTGGAGAGTCATGCTCGATGCCCTGCTGTGTTTCAGGGTTCTGCCAAGCCTGGACATTGTGGTGTGGTCGGAGTTGCCCACTGGGGCAGGTTTGGGCTCCAGTGCCGCCTACTCGGTGTGTATGGCAGCTGCCCTTCTGACGGCATGTGAGGCGATCTCAAACCCGCTGAGGGATGGAGAGCGCGTCGGCAGGTAATCATTGTCCTTCCTGGATACGAGAATTCTCTTGCTTGGGACCTCGCCAACCCCCCCCACCCCCTCCCCGTCAGGTGAGGGTTATTACGGCGGCATGAAGAAGCTGAGGCTGAGAAGCATCATGGTTGGTGCAGGGCTGCACAGCTAGTGTTGGCCGTGTGGGATTCGAACCCAGAGCCAAGCTCTTCCTCTCCTGAGAGCATTCACTTCTTTGCCACCTTCTTCTCGCTCCCTACCTTGGCTGTCTGGGTTCAAGGGCCAGCCTTGTGGTAGGAAGCACTTGAGCTGGATATAGATGGCAGCAAGTAAAATGGACTCTCCTGGTTTTACAGCATTTGGCCACAGCGCTCCTGCGGCCCCTCTGCCTGATAATGAGCTTGCCTCCTATTGGGTTGTGCTAGATGTTAAGTGTTGCCGGGCCCTGGTGGTTCACGCCTGTAATCCTAGCTACTCAGGAGGCTGAGCTCTGAGGATCATGGGTCAAAGGCTGCGAGACTCTCCATCTCCAATAAACCACCAGAAAAAAAAGTGGTGTGGTGGCTCAAAGTGGTAGAGCACTAGCTTGGAGCAGAAGAGCTCAGGGACAGCATCCAGACCCCGAGTTCAAGCCCCACGACTAATAACAATAACAACAACAAAAAGGAACAATGTCATGTTCTCTGCCTGAGCTTGCTTTAAATTAAGTTTCCCTCCTCCAGCACGGAAGCCCTGTGGTTTTCTGTTTGCCTGGCCCTACTAGGTGCCCACTGGCATGTCTGTCACATCCAGTAACTCCTTTCCTCATGTGTAAGTTGAAGCATGGTCAAGCCCCAAGCTGCCTTGATTCCACCCTGGAGCCCCGCAGACCAGAGACCGCTGGTGTTTCTGCCGTGTAAGGCCAGGACTTGGCAGGGAAGAGGTGCAGGCTGCTCTTGGTCCTAGCAGAAAACACAACTCTTCATCCTCCGTTGTTCTTGCTGGGGTTGTGGGCCTGTGCCCTTTGACCTCTGGCCTCCACCAAGCAGAGTCCGCACCTGCTGGCCTCCACTCACCACCGTGATAAAGCCGTGTTTGTTTCCTGTCTCCAGGTGGGCCGAGGCGGATCTGGAGTTAATTAACAAGTGGGCCTTTCAGGGGGAGAGAGTGATCCACGGGAACCCCTCCGGGGTGGACAACGCCGTCAGCACCTGGGGTAGGGCTGAATTTCTCCTTTGCCTTCTTTTCCAAAATCTTAGTTCATTGTGTACACAGCCCTGTTGGCTGGGGACAAGTAGAACCAGCAGATGCTGAGCAAAAGAGCATTTTCCTGGCTGGGGAGAGGAAGAGAGATCGAGGCTCTGCTTCAGCCTTGGTGACTCCTTCCCCTGGGGTGGTGGGGGAGGAGGGGAAATTCTGGGGATCACAGCCTTGGGGAGAACTCCTGGGGAGTCAGTCTAGCTGTAGCCTCCCCTTTGGGGGGCGGGCAGGACCCGGGCCCCCAACCTCAACCTGGGGCCTGGTGGAATGCAATTGGGCTGCCCGTAGGGTGGGAAGGGAGCCGGGAACCGGGCCCGGCGAGAGTCTTGGTGCCTCCCGGGCATTTTACAGGTGAGGCTGGACGGACACTCAAGTTGCCCATCCTGTTCCGACTCCAGCACACATGCACCGTCTCTCCCAGGCCAGCATCACCTTCCACCCAGCTCTGACTACTTGCTTTTCCCTTCAGGAGGAGCGCTGCGCTACCAGCAAGGGAAGATGGCGGCCTTGCAGAGGTAACTCGCTCTGCCCTCCCTTCCCGGGCCAGTGCTGTGTCTTTGCCAAGTCACACCTGCGCCCAGGGGTTCTGGGGGGGTTTAGGGGAAAGATGAGGTCCCCCGCCCAGCTGGGACTGCTCTCCTTCCTTCCCTCCCCTTTTCTCTGAGATGAGAGGGGAAAGTGGTGCGCAGCCATCCCCTCAAAGCTGATGGGTCTGCTCAGCCGTTCAGGCGGCCATGTTTCTCTTCATTAGGAAACACGAGCTGCGGTTGTCCTCTGTCCCTGTGGACGCATCTTAGGGCCCAGGGACGCCTAGATGCCTCTAAAATGTTTCTCAGAGCTCCTGGTGGGGGCGGGTCAGAGAAGGACAGAGAGGCCACGGGGCCACCGCAGGCATGAGGGCGTGCAAGGCTGAGACCAGGCTGGAGCTCACCTGGGGGGACGTTTGCCAACTGTCCTGCTGCTGACGTGTCCCCGCTCTTCCCCCAGGGAGTTGCTGGAATGACGCACATGCGTATTGACTTTCAGCATTCTCTGTTCCGTTCGCACCACCGTGGAGAGGTCGGGTGTGGGATTAAATCTATGGGGAGCTGGGGGCCCAGGGCCATTTTGGCTATTTCAGGTCAGGCGATGGTTTGCCCCAGGGTGCCTCACCTGGCTGGGGTCTCTCAGTGTCTGGAAGATGCCTTCATCGCCCATGATGGTCTTCCTGGATAGGCAGAAGGTCCTGGACCACGGCCTTTGCCCAATGGGTTAAATCCTTGGGCCACGGTTTTGTGGTAGCTCACCCCTCCTTATCCATTGCCTAACGCTGTGGTGACTTTCTATCAAACTGTGGGCTTCCACAAGCTAAGCCTGCCCTTCTGGAGTTCTGTAGCCAGGACTCCACCTTTGCTCATTGACCTTTGCATCTAGATCATTCTTTGGGGTGAGACAGGTAACTGTCCCAATATCTCGCTATTTACTAGTTCCCAGTAGTACCCTTGGGTTGTGACAACCAAAAATGACCCCTAAAACTGGGTAGCCTGGCTCAAACCTCCACTCCTAGATACCTGGAAGATGCGAATCAGGGGAGTAAATGTTTGAGGCCAGCCCTGGTATAAAAATCATGAGAGTCCATCTCACGCAATGGCTGGGTATAGTGGTGAGTACCTGCTATCCCAGCCCTGGGGGAAACGCAAGTCCCGACCCGCAAAAATAACCAGTGCAAAATGAAGGTGTGTCTCAATGGTAGTGTGCATCTCTGCCTTGCAAGTGTGAGGCCCTGGGTTCAATCCTCAGCACTGGGGGAGGGAGGGGAAATAATCTCCTGACGTCACCTTGTGTCCCCTGCAGGGACAGCCAACTTTGATGCCAACCCCTACTCTACCCAGGAAGGAAGTAGAGCATTTAGGAGCAGAGAGCTGCTTCCTCAGGCCATCTGCCCCAGACACAAGCAGGGGCAAGGAGGGCAGAAGGCTCAGAAGGGGGCCTGTGCCTGGCCTGTTGGCAGCGGTAGAGCTGTGGAGATGGTGGAACAGGCGGTCAGGACTCCAGAGCTGGGGTGGATGGCAGCGAGGGCATCACATGGCTACCTGCACTTGTGGGCCACCCTGCATTGCTTTCCTCCAGGATCTCAGACACAGCTCCAAGCCTTGGGCCAGGCCCTGCATGTGGAGGCCAGCTCCAAGTGGGCAGAGTACAGGGAATCAGAAGAGGAGCAAGGGAGGGGCTATGGTGATCTGTGGTGGGGCCTGAGGGCCTGAATTTGAGACCAGCCCAGTCGGTGGTGAGGCTTGAATCTGGGCCTAGGCGCTGTCCCTGAGCTCTTCAGCTCAAGGCTAGCACTCTACCACTTGAGCCACAGCGCCACTACCAGTTTTCTGGTAGTTAATTGGAGATAAGAGTCTTACACTTGCCGGGCGCTGGTGGCTCACGCCTGTAATCCTAGTTACTCAGGAGGCTGAGATCTGAGGATCTTGGTTCAAAGCCAGCCCAGGCAGGAAAGACCGTGAGACTCCTATCTCCAATAAACCACCAGAAAACTGGAAGTGGCGCTGTAGCTCAAGTGGTAGAGCGCTCGCCTTGAGCTGAAGAGCTGAGGGACAGCACTTAGGCCCCACCACCGACAAAAAAAAAAAAAGAGTCTTATACTTTTCTGCCTGAGCTGGCTTTGAACCATGATCCGAAGATCTCAGCCTCCTGAGTAGCTAGGATTACAGGTGTGAGCCATCAGTGCCTGGCTTTCCAATCTTTTCTTAATATATCGTGGTATGTGTGTGTTGTATTTCTTTTTCTTTTTTCTTTTTCGATGCTGGTCCTGGGGCTTGAACTGAGGGCCTGGACTCTGTCCCTGAGTTTTTGTGCCCACAGCTAGTGTTTTACTACTTTGAGCCACAGCTTCACTTCCGGCTTTTTGGTGGTTAATTGGAGATAAAAGTATCACAGACTTTCCTGCCCAGGCTAGCCTCAGACTGTGATTCTCTGATCTCAGCCTCCTGAATAGCTAGGATGACAAGTGTGAGCCACCAGAAGCTGGCTTTATATTTCTGTTTCTCTTGTGCTGGGGATGAAATCCAGGATCTAGCTCATACTTGGCAAGCACTCTACCACTGAGCCACTAGCCCTCCACAAAAATGACTGAGCATCTGTGATGTGGCAACTCAGCAGGAAATGAAAGTTCTGGAGCTGGGCATGGACGGCTCACACCTATGGTCCTAGCTACTTAAGAGGCTGGGATCTGAGGATTGTGATTTGAAGCCAGCCTGGGCAGGAAAGTCCATGAGGTCCTATCTCCAATTAACCACCAAACAGCCAGACATGTTGCTGTGGTTTATGTGATAGAATGCCAGCCTTGATCCAAAAAGCTCAGGGACACTGTCCAGGCCCTGAGTTCAAGCCCTAGTACTGGTACCAAAAAAAAAAAATTCTGCCTTTGTGATGTTCATTTCCCTGGGGCAGACAGCCAACAAACAAAACCATGTTTAGAGCTTGTAGGAACTAGAGCGGAGTGAGGGGCTGGAAAGGGAGGGGTGAGCTGATCTAATGCAATACTCAGATTCTGGTGATGTAATTAGAGCAAAGATCGGAAGGAAGGAAAGGAATGGGCCGTGCAGCTGTGGAGGTGGGACAGAGAATCTGAAATGCAAGTGCTGGGTCCTGAAGCGAGAGTAGGCCTGGCGTGCAGCCACAGCAGGTAGGAGGCCAGGGCCACAGAGGGCCGTGTGCACCCAGGGAGAGGAGGTGAGCTGACACTGGGGTGGCCAGGCCCACGTCAGAAGCACCTCCAGGGCAGAGCCTCCAGTGGAAGCCACTGTTTGCCACGAGCCCTAGGTTGGGTGGGGCCAGCTGCAGGTCTGTTAGCAGGGAACAAACCTGGACAGGAAGCACCCCCTTTGAGGTGGGATCAGAGCAGGGCGACCTTTGCAGTGGACACCACGGTGAGCAGATGGCGGTTCTCTGGGAGGCCTGACGCTGCCTTAATCCCACGGATGGCTTAAAGAGGAGCCCTGTCCCCCGCCTCCGCCCCCACCCCCAAACCAGGCATGGTGCTGCTGCATCAGAAAGCACATTGTTTATGAAGTAGATCGAGATGGGGGCCTCCCAAAACGCTGCCCCCAAAGGCTTGTCTTTTACAAAGGAAGAGAAAAGCCAAATAGAATGTTCATCTTTTGTAAAGTGGAAAGAGAGAGAGAGAGAGCAAGCGTGGGCCTCCTAGGCCGAGAATCGATATTAATTTCATGGGCTTATGGGCGGGGAGATAAAGCAGATTTCTGGCAGCCTTTTCCAGCCCTGTTGCACTTTACCATGTGGAACTGTGAAGAGCAGGAGAATGGCGGTGTCAGGAGGTCGCGCCTCCAGCCGTCTGAGGCCCGAGTGCATCCAGCATCGCCACCCTCCGGAAGGCAGGGCGAGGGCAGAAGGGGTGGCGTGTGTCCCCAGAGACAGCTCCGCGCAAGGACAGTTGGGGTGGTGGCTTTAGGAAGGATTCAGGCAGGCGGGAGGTGACGGCTAGTCTCCTGCCTCTCCTCTTCCCCAGGGTAGCTGAGAGGCCATGGACTCCTCTGGCCACAGCGGGGTTGACGCCCCCCTTGCAGGTGCCCCCCAGGAAAGCCACCCTAACCCACATATTCTGAAGTCCAACAGAGGCCTCCCCAGAGTTTACCCCTCTCAGAGCATTTCCGATTTTGGGTTTTTTTTTTTTTTCCACCTGATTTAGGGATGCGCGACTCGTCCTGTCTGTGCAGATAATAATTCCCAAATCTGATCAACCCATGATCCTCCACCCTTCTGCTCCCCCAGCATCTCAGACCGGGGACGCCCCTGTGGGCCCCCGCCAGCGGCTGGGCGTCTTCTCTCCTCACGCCCTCTGCGACAGCGTGGTCCATATACCCTGCCAGCGCCAGGATCTGCACACACCGTCAGCACCCTGCCTGTTAGGACTGCGTTTGTCTAGGAGAGTAGTTCTGACTTTTCCTGAGTTCTCAGCTTGCGCATCACAGCAGAGAGAAGCCTCCCGGGACCTTCTCCCTTTTCTGCTCCTGTCCCCTGGGTGCCAGGCTGGCTGGCTTCCCTTATGTGTGGCTAGATGAATATTAATGGAGTATGACATCTCCCAATCTGACGTCACCTCTTGGGGTTTCTACTTTGTCCACTCTGGCAGGGTGGGTGGAGTCTCAGGTCACCTCCCCCCCCCAGGCCTGACCTTGCTCCTCCTCCTCCTCCCTGCAGGCCCCCTGTTCTCCAGATCCTGCTGACCAACACCAAAGTTCCACGCAGCACCAAGTCCCTCGTGGCTGGTGTCAGGAGCAGGCTGATGAAGGTGCTCTTGGGTGGACTTGAGGATGGGTGTAGGTATGGGGTACCCCTCGCTCCCCCACACAACTGGGGGCAGCTATCGGGGGCCCAGACCTCACAGCCTGACCTGCTTTCCTTCCCACACAGTTCCCAGAGATCGTGGGCCCCCTCCTGACCTCCATAGACGCCATCTCCCTGGAGTGTGAGCACGTGCTGGGGGAGATGGCCGTGGCCCCAGCCCCAGAGCAGTACCTCGTGTTGGAGGTAAGGTGCTCTGCAGAGCCTCCCGGAGGCCCATGTGGAAAGGCCAGGCCCGGCCTCTGGCTGGCACAACGAGTCCTCTGGCATTGGGTGTTTAAGGTTGGGGGGAGAGGGAGGGGAAGGGGGGAGCTCCCTAATGAGCAGAAGTTGTGACTAAATCACCCTTCCAGGAGATTGACACTGGCCCCGCCCACCTGGGAAGTGGGCGTGTGCTCCGCTTTACAGCTGTCAAAGCAGAGGCCCGGAGACTGGCTTCCTCCCCTCCTTTACCAAGCCAGACAGTGCTTGGGCCAGGGGCCTACTGCCTGAGCCGTTCATTGCTTTACTCAGCAGGTCTTTACTGAGCACCTACTGTGTGCTGGGTGGATGCAGGGCTTCGGTTTCTCTGCCTACAACTCCCTGGCTTTGCATTCCTTGCCTGTGGACACCTCCCCCGCTCGCCTTCCATCCCCCCGACAGGGGACAGGAAATTAATAATGATAGAGAGTTGCCTGCACACTCCCGTCGAGCCCGGAGAACGCTGGGGAAACAGCGCCGTTGATTATACAGCCCGGATATTTTTGGCAGTGGCAGCCGCTGAAATGTACAGCTCAGCTCTTGGACAGCTTTGCACTCCAAACCAGCGAGCTGTTCTCCCGTGTCACAACCTGTCATCTGATCCTCGACAGATCTGGGATCAGAATGTGACAGGTGTCTGGACCCGCCTGGGCGGCGTGACACCTGGCGCTCCGACACAGAGCGAGGCCCCCCAGAAGTGTCTCACCCAGGCAGGCTGGGGAGCGGCACCTCGAGCTGCCACCAGGCCATCACGCCTGTCTGCTCATTTGTCACAAGTGCCAGGGGCCTGCGGTGGGCTCACCAACCTGCCTGGTGGGCGCCAGGCAGGGAAGCACGCGGTGGGTCTCAGCAGAGGAGCAGCAGTGATTGGCAGCAGCAGCGCCTGCGCCACCGTCTGGGCCCCGTGCCCCGGAGCGGAGCCCCGGGCTCGGCTCTCAGGGCTGCAGGCCGTGAGGAGGTGGGTGGAGGCGGCCAGGTAGGCCGCAGTCCCTCAAGACCAGGTCTTCCCCAGGCCCACAACCACCTCCTTAATTTCTCATAGGCTAGGCTCTCAGGGCCCAGCTCACCATGTATGTGGTGAATTTAAAAGTACCAGGTGGATCCTAGGAGAGCAGAAATTGTATTGCACATAATGGAAGAAATCTCAACAAATATGTAGCTATTACCTACTCACTGGAGGTATGACCTCATTTATTTATTTATTTATTTATTGGTCAGTCATGGGGCCTGAACTCTGGGCCTGGGCGCTGTCCCTGAGCTCTTCAGCTCCAGGCGAGCGCTCTACCACTTGAGCCACAGCGCCACTTCTGGTTTTCTGGTGGCTATTTGGCGGACTTTCCTGCCAGGGCTGGCCTTGAACCACGATCCTCAGATCTCAGCCTCCTGAGAAGCTAGGATGACAGACGTGAGCCACCAACACCTGGCTTGACCATGTTCTTATTCTGCACAGCAGCCCCCCTTCCCCCACCTCCCTCAGCTATAAGGTAGGCTTTTTTTTTCCTCTAGCAAGTGACAGAAACCAGAGATAATGGCTTCAGGAAGAGCTTGACGCAGCAGTTAGAGTAATGTGGATGGCGACCTCTCTCTCATGCAATCTCTGATCATGTAGAGAGACTCTTGGCGGGTAACCTGCATCACCTGTATCTGAAGTTAACTGGTTTTAACCATTTCCATTGAAAGAGGCAGAGAAAAAGCCAGTTAGGCCCTGGCTGGTCCATGTGGGTCATGTGCCCATCCCTGCTGACCAGACACAAAGCCAGAGGCTCCTTGGCTAGGGAAAGAATGAAGTAGCGGCAGCCACAGCAGGAGGGTGAATTCAGCCCCATCCTGGCCCCCATGGGAAGCAGAGGGACAGTGTCATTTCAAGGAATGGGACAGCTGATTCAGGTGCATACAGCAGACACATGGGGGGAAGGGTTAGTTAGGGATGCTGGCCCCAGGCAGACCGCGTGGGAACAGAGGGCACCTTCTGCAGGAGCTCATGGACATGAACCAGCACCACCTGAATGCCCTGGGCGTGGGCCACGCCTCCCTGGACCAGCTCTGCCAGGCGACAGCGGAGCGGGGGCTGCACAGCAAGCTCACGGGCGCAGGCGGCGGCGGCTGTGGCATCACTCTTCTGAAGCCAGGTACCCTGGGGCTCGGGCCGGGGGCTGCTGACCAGCCTGGACTCCCGAAGGAGGGTCCACTGGGAGAATTCCCTGGCAGGGGAGGGTGGAAGCCTGCAAGCGAGTCTTAGCTGGGCTGCGTGGACTTGGGATGAGTTATTAGCCTCTCTGTGTTCCTCTTTGGTTAAAAACAAAAACAAGCTTGCAAGATGGTTGCCCACATTGAAGGAGGAAAGTGGATTGGCATTTAGAGAGTGTGGATCTGTCGTGGTGGCTGTCCCTGGCACCATCCACACGGGCCTCAGCCCCGCTCTCGGGCAGGGCGAGATGAACGTGGATGGGGTGGTGCAGAGCCCTTAGGGCTGCAGGCCTGTTAGCACACTTGGGCTGCAGCCAGGCCAGCGTGGAAAGAAGGTCTGGGCCCTGGGTCTTCTTCCCGAGTGGCATAAGCTGACGGATCTAGGGTGACAGCCTCCCTCACCTTCTAGGTGTGGAGCGGGCCACGGTGGAAGCCACCAAGCAGGCCCTGACCGGCTTCGGCTTCGATTGCTGGGAGACCAGTCTTGGTGCTCCAGGGGTCTCCGTCCACTCGGCCACCTCCCTGGACGTCCCTGTGCAGCAAGCCCTGGGCTGCCTCTGACACGGGCCTGTGGCTGCAGAGATTTTTCTGGGGCTGGAGTTGGCCAGTGGCCCCCAGCTCAGTCCTTGGCAGGCCTTCCACTCTTCGTACTGGCCTTCCTGCCCGCCCTGGGAGGCACATCTGCACTCTGCTAGGCAGCAGGGCCTAGCAGGGGCTCAGGAATCTACTACCCAGGCCTGGCCTTCATCTGGGAGCTGTCTGGCCCCAGGGCTAGCCATGTGGACGCAGGGCTGGAGCCTGGCCCCCAAGCTGTGTGCCTGCTTTCTGGATCTGGCTCTCTACTGCCCCCTGGCCTCCGGGGCTGGAGTCTTCCACCTCCTCTGAAAGCAGCCTTGTTCCCCTCCCTCCCATCCCACGTTCCATGGGTTGGAGTCGTTCAGCACTGCTTGTGTGTGGCCTGCCCTCCTGGGTAGCAAGCTGGGCCCAGGGGCTGTGCCAGGCCGAAAGATTGGCTGAGTGAAGGCAGGGCAGACCTGCCTTCTCGTGTGTACTTAAGGGTTTGGCAGGCAAGATGGTGGTGGAGAATAAAAGGAAATGCCCATGTCCACCTGCAGCCCCTTCTGTCCCTCCTTTTGCCAGTGACTTCCTCTGTGCAGCTCTTCAGCGCTGAAGGGAATGAGGGGGCTTTGGGTCTTTTTCTGGGTCTTGGTTTGAAGTATGGTTTCCCAGCACAGCTCCTGTGCGACCCCCCTTCTGCAGGAGGCCAGGGATGAAGGTGGGGCTGGGCTGAGCCTGTAGGATTTGGTGCAGGTAGCTCAGTGAACATCTGCCCTTGGCCACTAGGGGGCAGTTGATGCCTTTCCCAGCATCCTCTTGAGGAGGGGCTGGGCGCCACTGCCTGGGGTCACTGCCTGGAATCGGAGGGCAACTGGACCTCCAACCCAGCAGCAGTGGTGGGGATCCCTGCTCCTCTCCATCTCAGGACTCAAAGGACATATCACACATAATACCCAGCACTCTTGTGGCCAGTACTAAGCACTAGGCTCACTTTTTTTTTTTTTCTGATTCTGGGGCTTGAACTCAGGGCCTGGGCGTTGACCCTGAGCTCTTCAGCTCAAGTCTAGCGCTAAACCACTTGAGCCACAACGCCACTTCCGGTTTTCTGGTGGTTCATTGGAGATAAGAATCTCACGGACTTTCCTGCCCTGATGACTGGCTTTGAACCATGATCCTCAGATTTCAGCCTCCTGAGCAGCTGGGATGACAGGTGTAAGCTACCAGAGCCCCTCTGGACTCACCTTTAATCTATACTCACGGTCAGTGTCTAATTGCTAATCTCACGCCCATGTTACAGATGAGGGGCTCATTGAGGCTGAGTAACTTGTACAAGGCCACACAGCTAATCCTGAGCCTGCCCAGCCTCAGTATTTCCTCTGAGATTGGATGTATTTGGTCAGGGGAGGAGGGCCCAAGCCTGGATAGGAGCTGGAGCTGAGGGAGCATCCTGATTGGTCATGGTGATGATTGACAGCTGGCTCCCAGCCTGTGGGGATGGGAGTTTTGGATCTTCCCCAGGCTCCACCCTGGAATACCAGTCCCTACCCAGGATGCTCTGCTGTCTCTGGCGTGGCAGGGCTCCATAGCCAGGTAGCTCCATAAAGCTCCCGGGTAGCCAGGGCTGAGGAGACCAAGGTGGCCTCTGCATGCCAGCACCATGGGTTCCACAGGCTCCACTTCCGCTCTGCCACCCCCTGACCGACCACGTGATCTTGGACAAGTCTGTTCACCTTTCTGGATGACTAGACTCATCTAGAAACTGAGAAAACTACCCCCTTTTACTGAGGCCTTGTGGCAATAGAATGTAAGGATATACACAAAGCGTCAATGCCGTGCCTAGCATGCAGTAAGCACTTCATAAATGCTCACCCCTGTAACTTGTGCTGAAAGACCAGGCGGTGTCTCTCTGCTCAGAAATGGCAGTGTAGTGCACAGTGCTGATGGAAAGTGCCAGACTCGCCCCACGCCCTGAGGTGGGGCCCCTCCAGGAGAAATATCGCCAGTGCCAGCTAGCTTGGCTTCTTCCTGGCTTTCCCCCCAGATCCAACACACATCCTGTGCGCTCTGCCAGCCAGAGGATGGTCCCAAGTGACCATGGGAAGCCATTCCTGTCCCTGCAGCACACAGTAGCTCCCACAATCCCCCTGGGCCTTGAGTCCCCCTGCCTGCCCCTGGTCCTGGGGTGGGGGGGGTATCCCACTCAGGAGACAGGCCACAGATACTGGGGTAGCAGCAGTTGATGGCTGCTGTGTCTGAACCCCCGTTCCTCTTCTCAGAGGCCTTTTCCCCATGGCCCAACTGGGCAGGAGCACCAGGCCATGTGGGGAAGAACAGGACTTCCCATCTTCCTACCTGCCTCAGTTGGCTGAGGAGAGCACTCTGCAGGGGTTGCTGTGTGAGGTAGGGGTGCAGCATTCCCTCTCTGGGCCTTGGGCTCCTCAGTTGTTTCTGAGGCTATTGCTGAGGAACTCTCACTGCACTGCACAGGGTCCCAAACTCTAAACTGGGGGGGGCGGGGAGGGGAGAGACAGAGAATGATCTAAATCAGGCTGGGGAAGGAGGAAGCGGGCAGGTGATGTGTGTGTGTGTGTGACTGTCCAGGTTCTTTGTAGTCTCTTGGTGATCGGGGATAGGACCCAGAGCCTCAGGTAGGATGCGATAGGTCAGCCATCTCCCCGCTCAGCCACACCCGTAGGCCTCTCTCTCTCAGCTTTTGAAGAGATTTCAGAAGCCTGGGTGCTTTGATCAAATTGTGTGTTTAAATACTGTGCAACAATACAGAAAATCCAATTTCAAAAGCCAGGCTGCAAATGGAAACTGTCCCCAGGGTGGGGCGAAGGCTGGCTGTGGGGTGCGTACGATTGGGGGGTGCCCCCACCCCTCGGAACCTGGGTACCCGGAGCACCGTGAAGCGGGGTGGGCAGGGTGGCGGGCGGCAGGGACGCCAGCGGCCTGGTGCAGAGCTCAACCCCACGAGGCACAGATGGTATTTTTTCCCCCCTTTTATCGGCGTCAGCATTGGTTTCTTTCTGCTCTGATGAATAGATTCTAAAGAGGCAGTGACATTATTCGAGATAACAGAGAGAGCAGAAAAAGGGTCAGCCAGGGAGAGAAAATGGCAGCGCCAGCAAATAAAGGGGAGGCCCAAGGAGGGGGTGAGGCACTCTGACTCAGGTGTCCCCCTCTGTAGTGACTCCCGCCCAGCCCTGCTCTTCCTCAGTGGGGCAAGAATGCAGCGTGGCCCGGCCCCGGGGGGAGGGGGGGGGAGGCCCGGCCAGCTGTGCCAGGCCGCTTGCCCCTCCTGGCTTCTGGGCGCAGCAGCCGCCCATCCGCCTTTTCAATTCAATTCAATTAGGCCTCCCCGCTCCAAGCTTGTCTCCTCTGATATCCAGCCTAACTGATGGGGGATTAGTACTGTTTGTATTGCACGCACACTCTCCTCTGCTAAACCACCAGCAGGGCCCAGGGACCTGGGTTATTTATGGAGCTGGCCGCAGTGCTATCACTCCAGGGCCTGCTTCTTTTTCTTTGGGGGGGAAGGGGGGCCTGGGGATCCTGTTCTTTGCTGCCCTCCCCCCTTGGTGCAGCCTGAGCCCAGACAGAACTGAGCTTCGGTCCCAGCTCTACCCCACCCCCCAACCTCACTGGCTGTGTGATGTTGGGCCAGCAAAATCGCCTCTCTGAACCTCAGTTTCTTCATCTGGGAAATGGAGATGGGTGAGCAGCTGGGTGGTTGTGCTGGGGGGGCGGCGGGGTCCTGAGCGAGGTAACTGGTGTAGGGTTTTTACACTGGCACGCTGAGAGAAAACTTTCATTCGTTCCTCCGAGTGGCCATCACCGATTCACCTTGTAAACCTTTCTCCCTTGGCTCTGTTTCCAACCCCAGCCATCCTCGGTTGATCTGTTACATTGCCCAGCTCCCCGGGGAAGCCTCGCCCACTTCCAGCACAGAGCCAGGCACGTGATCACAGTTTGCCGTTCATCGGAATGAATGAAGGGTAAATGAAGAAATGAATGAATGAGTAGGAAGGGGAACAGGAAGTGAGTCTCTGGCCTGCTGTGTGGCTGGCTGCCGGGATTCCCACCCCCCTCCCACTCCTCCAGGGCTCCCAAAGGAGTTTCGGGGCCTTTGGATAGGGTTGGGTCGTGGTCAGGAGGGGTGGGTGAGTCAGGTGTGATGGTACATGCCTTTAATCCCAGCTACTGGAGAGGCAGAGACAGAATTTGAAGGCAGCCTGGACAAGGTTAATAAGACTTTATCATTTAAAAACAAACAAACCAAAAAGGCTAAGGACAGGATGGAAGCGGCAGAGCATTTGCCAAGGAAAATTCAAGGTCCCAGGTTCAATCCTCAACACCTCACTCATTCCTACTCTGCCTTTGCCCGAGGGGGAAGAAGGGCATTTGTGGACCTTTCCCCTCCTGGTGATTCCCTTGAGGGGATGAGCTAGATGGTCCGGGAAATGTCATTTGGGAGTAGAGCTGATGCTGCCAGCATTCACCTGCCCCCCCCCTTTCCTCACTCCAGTTCCCCAAGCCTGGTGGGGAGCCGGCCCGGGACATGCAACCCTGGAGATTCACCATGCCGAGTGCAGCAGAAACCAACCGACACTTAACCGGTGCCTCATCCAATGTCGGCTCTTGGCATTGCTCCTTTCTCCAGGAGACTAGATGAAGGCTCACAGCAGGGGTCGGGGGAGAGGGAGGAGGGGGCTTGTGATGGTTGGATGGGGCAATGGCATTAAAGTCACAAGAATGATCCAGACCCGGTAGTACACGCCTGTAATCCCAGCCATGTGGAGACACATACAAAGGAGGATTGCCAGCCTGGCCTCAGTGCAAGACCTTCAGAAACCAGTTCAAAGTGCCAGGCGTGGTGACTCACACCTGTAATCCTAGCTACTCAGGAGGCTGAGATCTGAGGATCTAGGTTCAAAGCCAGCCCAAGCAGTAAAGTCAGTGAGACTCTTATCTCCAATAAACTACCAAAAAAAAGAGAGCCAGAGGTGGACCTGTGGCTCAGGGACAGCACTTAGTCCCTGAGTTCAAGCCTTAGGACAAACCTCTACCCCCCTCCCCCCAAAAAAAGGGTGAGTTCAGGAGTAAAAGTAGTTCATATTTGAGTTCAGGTATAGCCACCAGCCGGCTAAAAACAGGCAACAAGATTTCCTTGGGTCGCAGTTTTCCTTCTCTATTCAGTGGGACAAGAAAAGATACCCAGGCAAAGCCAGGCAACCGTGGCTACTCAGGAGGCTGAGAGCTGAGGATCACAGCTCAAACCCAGCTCAGGCAGGAAAGGCCATGAGACTCTTACCTCAAATAAACTACTCAGAAAAAGCCAGAAATGGTGCTGTGGCTCAAATGGTAGAGCACTAGCCTTGAGCACAAAGAGGCTCAGGGACAGCCCCTGGCCCTGGGTTCAAGCCCCAGGAGAGGCACAGAAAAAGAAAGAAAAAGATACCTAGGTAAGATCAAAGGGCCACACATTTGCACACCCATGGCCCGATGTACCAAACAATACTCCAAACCCCTTCATCGTACAGAG